CTCCCGCCGCGAGGCCGGGCGGGCTGCGCTCGTGGGCGGCGATTGCTCTCGCGCGTGTTGTTTTCTCCCACCCGATGGGGCTCCACAGGTTGCAGCTCGGGGCCCAGCCGCAAACCAGGGCTCATCTGGCGGAGTGTTTTCTTCCCGGAGGCCCGGTGAGCAGGCACCGCCTGGAGGGGTGGAGACTGGCAGAGTGCGGGAGCTGGGTGCCAGGGAGCCTGCGGGCTGGAATGAGTGGCACAGGGGCACACAGCTGTGACGAACAGGATGTTCGTCATTTGCAGAAATTGCAAATGTAGCTGCTAAGATGAGGTTCGCGTCCCGCGTGGCCCGTGTGAGGACCAAAACCTACTGTACAGCTGTCCTTCCAGCCGGATCACTGAGGGTACTGTTGGCTGGGTTTGTGCCCACAGATGCGAAACGGGCACGGATTCTCTAGGGAGGCCGTGTTGCTACCCGGAGTTTCCAGCCCAGACCTCATTTCAAACCTGCTGGACATGAATCGCAATCCTCCCAAACCTGTATTTCAACAACCGAATCAAGCTAATGTCCGTAACAAAGTGCATAAATCACAGAAGTATGAGAACCATCCTGCTGGGGCACCTGCGTGCCAAGCTGCGCCTGCAGCACGCACGGTGAGGCCTACCTGAACACAGTATGCATTTTTTTTGTTTGGCAATTAAAAAGTGCATTTCTATGAATCCAAATACCACCCTGGCAGAATGGACATCTAGGGAAAAAAAGGGAAAAACCTGAATTTTCTTGGAAATTAATTTTTATAATATTTTAAAATTAAAACTGTAGGTAGTAAAATGTCACAGCTTGGCCTCATGCAAGAACAGTAATTTTACAGCTCTGTCAACGGCTGGATCCCTCCTGGCTGTTAAACAGGCAAACTACTAAATAAGATACTTTCTTTTATTTGTTCTCACCTGAGGATATTTTTTCCGTTGACTGTAGAGAGTGGAAGGGAGGGGCAGGGGGGAGATAAATCCATGTGGGGACAGGGTGGGGAACCTGCAACCCAGGTATGTACCCTGGACTGGAAATCGAACCCGTGACCCTTCCATGCCCAGGTGGACAATCTAACCACTGAGACATGCCGGCCAGGGTTAAATAAGATACTTCCAACTGAGCTTCATGGGCCAGCAAGGCTGGATCTGCCAGTATAATATGGTAACATTGCCACAATGTATTCAATGGTCCTTCCTCTGATAGGAACTTACTAAGGTCAAGACTTGACTCCCTGTTTAATTCTTGGTCTTGAAAAATTTCATTGAAGCAGTTTCACAGACTGAAGTTTTGTGCACTGTTTCAAGATGATACATATTTTCGGAAGTAGATTTAAGATTGCTGTACTCATATTTTAAATTCACAATTTCTAATATTTTTGTCTGTCCTTGCCGCTACCCACAATCACGAGAGAAAGATTTGTCCTTAAAGTTGGGACCTAGAAATGTAACAATGGAGCAATTCTGTTGGTTTTCAAGTTAAGACAAGAGTTGAAGTTCCCACCTGCATCTTAGCTTTCCTTGGAGGCATAGCAATTGTAGTATCTTCCCTGGAGTAGAAGCAAAGGGAAGTCTTTTCAGCAGGAATCTTGAAGGCACCTCAATTTATTCAGCAGGTTCCTACAAACCACTCTCTAGGCAAGCGACTATTGGTTGTTAATAAGTCTTACTATGTAATATTCTCTGGAAAATACAAAATTAAGGTCTTCTTTGTTCTATAAACCTTTGAAGGAATAATCGCTGCTGTTCCATCTTGTTTAAATATTTTGTATGTGTACTTGACATGGTAATTTCAAAATCTATTGCTTATCATATAATTTGTGACGGGCAGAAGTGGTTGACAGTGTTTCTGCTTGCAGCCAGTCGTTTTCTATACCATCTTGTAAAGCTATAACTTTCTGAATATAAAACTAAAAGGTGTAAACAAATTATAGTATGCTTCTGCTCACAGCCTTATATGTTCCACAGTCAATGATCATTTCAGGCATTTCTTGTCACTGATTTTACATTCCATCAACATTACTTAAAGTCAGCTTCACTATGGGTGCGGCACCCAGGAATCTTCCAGCAGGTAAGGAAAATGGAAACAGTGGAATGAATCGTTATTCCTCTATGTTGTCAAACCTAAAAAATGAAGGTTGAGTGTTTGTGCCCAAATGTCACATATACCATATACTGTGGCAGCATATTTAATAATCCCATTAATCTTTTTGTACGTAGTAAAATATAAATCAGAAAAAAGTTCTTAAGAGTTTTTCTCAAGGAAACCAGTATTCAGAATTCATAGCTTGGATAAATCTCAAAAATCCTTTCTCTTCAACTGCTGAACATGGTTATCGGTCTAAGGCAATTGTTTCTACAAGCTTTAAAATATGTTAGCCTTAAAAAAAATTAGCCTTCAAAGATCCCGAACAATGAACTTAAAGGTGAAATGTCGAAAGCTTTGCACGTGAAATAAAAATGAGGCAATACCTACTGCCAACACCTTTATTCAACATTACACTTGAGGTCCTAGTCAGTGTAATAAGTAAGAAAATAAAATGTTTAAGGGTTGGATAAAGGAAATAAAATGTTTACATTTTTTAGACAATATGATCATATACATACAAAATCTAAAAGAATCGATAAATA